ACCACAGGTAGTATCAAAACCCGGTTTCTAGCATTGTAAGTCGGAAGACATACCGCCGTACCACTGGGGGGCTTGATCTATGTCAACTGGTTTCAATTCTTTTCAAAAGATCACTTCATACAATTATGTTCATTCAGTAAGAAAGATTCTGCTATTTATTTTGTATAGAATGTCTAAGCTATAACTACCGAACTTCTTCACAATGAAGATCAATAGGTTTTAGTCACAAATTATTACGAACTTGTCCAGAAAAACTTTACTCAAGATTATAAATTGACATACAACTTCACTAATAAATGTCCCCAAAATAATACATACAATGGCTGTTGGAATTACTGGAGACTTTTCAGGCACTGGAGAGTCCAGAGCAGAAAACTCTAACACTGACTGGCCCAGTTGCTAAAATAAAAAAGTTATTCATTATTATGACTCAATTCACAAAACTATAGAAATATTAACTTTAGTTAACAAACTGTTAGAACAAAAAAGGTTATCACATAACTTATACAACTTCTTGAAAGGTCCTACAAGTCAGTTTCATACTGGAAAACACAACAATCCCAACTGTCAATCAATCTGTTATTTACAGGATTTGAACTAAAGACTGCTTACATTTCAAGTAAATGCTATACCAACTTAGCTAAAGGAATAACCACCTAGCGTTTCTAATACAGCAATTTCACATTTATTTAGTTAATGTATTTCCATTTCAATAAGTCGCTATATATTATAACAGATATCATTCTTATTAGATTCCAAAACTTTGGACACAAAAGCCTGAAAATTCTGAATGCGTTAACTTAAATGTAGGTTAAAATTAGAATACGTTTTCTTGTCTGTGTTATATCAAGAACATTTACTCAATGCTATTAACCATCCAATGATCATAACTTCCTGGTATGACATTGTCATTAACCAGTCTAATGATCACAACATTCTGGTAAAATATTGCTCATTAACCAGTCTAATGATCACAACATTCTGGTATAACATCGTCATTAACCAGTATAATGATCACAACATTCTGGTATAATATCACTCATTAACCAGTCTAATGATCACAACATTCTGGTAAAATATTGCTCATTAACCAGTCTAATGATCACAACATTCTGGTATAACATCATCATTAACCAGTATAATGATCACAACATTCTGGTAAAATATTGCCCATTAACCAGTCTAATGATCACAACATTCTGGTATAACATCGTCATTAACCAGTATAATGATCACAACATTCTGGTATAATATCACTCATTAACCAGTGTAATGATCACAACATTCTGGTATAATATCACTCATTAACCAATCTAATGATCACAATATTCTGGTATAACATCGTCATTAACCAGTCTAATGATCACAACATTCTGGTATAACATCGTCATTAACCAGTCTAATGATCACAACATTCTGGTATATCACTCATTAACCAGTCTAATGATCACAACATTCTGGTATATCACTCATTAACCAGTGTAATGATCACAAGATTCTGGTATAATATCACTCATTAACCAGTCTAATGATCACAAGATTCTGGTATATCACTCATTAACCAGTGTAATGATCACAAGATTCTGGTATAATATCACTCATTAACCAGTCTAATGATCACAAGATTCTGGTATAATATCACTCATTAACCAGTGTAATGATCACAACATTCTGGTATAATATCACTCATTAACCAGTCTAATGATCACAATATTCTGGTATAACATCGTCATTAACCAGTCTAATGATCACAACATTCTGGTATAATATCACTCATTAACCAGTCTAATGATCACAACATTCTGGTATAATATTGCTCATTAACCAGT